GTATATACAGTTCACTTCTCCTTTTCCCCTTGATGAAGCTCATATGTGTGTTAGACCTACTAAATTTCAATAGCTTATTTGCATTGTATGTCAATGTTTATCTACGTTTGTTCCCGGTAGTCATCGAAAGCATAAATTTAACCAGTGGTAATTTAAAAAATTTTCATAATTAAATGTAACACTGCAAAAAAGTATACCACATACATCTTAGAGGGATAAATATATTTGCCATGGTAAATGACTGCATTTTAGCAGTTTAGCAGGTCCTGTAAGATTAGTGGACTAGTAAGTGTTCTCTGAAGGAACTGAAGTGTTCTGCAAGGGAGCTTGTGCCCTTTTTAGCCTATTTGTTCGTTTTGAGGATTCTTCACGTGCTTGCCCATAGTGCTTGCCGTACTGGGTCTGATGTCATTTTGAAGCGTCTATTGGAGCCGCCTTCCAGTGTTCCCATGGTGACGGAACACAATCTCTCCCCGTTCTCGTGACAGCTAGGCTGCCGCGGAAGCGAGAGTCACAGTTCTTTGCAAAGTTAATTCATGTGAAAAATAAACTAATGCACATTTTGCCTTTGGGAAAAACACACTAAAGGTACGCATATTTCTATAGCAGAATGTATTTAAGATTACGTATATGCAAAAGTTTTCTCGCCAGCAGTGTCGCGCGACTGTCCACGCGTTTTTGCGTTGCTACATCAATGAAACGGTCTCGTTCCAAAAACATTATTAAGGATGTAACGTTAATATTAAACATAATACCTAGACATTTCTTGTTGTGCATATCTCTAGCAATGTTTGGCTGGGACAAACTCCTAAAGGGACAGCTTGAGATCTTTTACCCTCAAGCTTTCTGTCAACTTCAAGTTCTCTTGCTTTGCGTTTTTAGTTAAACAGGTTGATAAAAAAGAAAGAAAAGCCATGAGAGGATATCTGAAGACGTTAGGATGGCTATTTAAACTCCAGAGCAAAACTACAACAGTAGGGAAGCACAAGGACTCTGATCTCTGTCTTCAGGTAATCCGTTTGCAGTTGCATTTTTAAGAGCTGCTTAATGAAGCGTATACTTGCATCTTTAAGATTTGCATTTTTGTGCAACCGACCATTCGCTTCATCCTTTTTCATAGGGGTTTTGATCTTGTTCCTGTTGCTTACAGAATGGAGGCGTTGAGGACCAGCATGCCGTGATCGAGCTCAACGAGCCAGAGCGCTGCTTCGTGCTGCGGGACCTGAATTCAGCGCACGGAACCTACGTCAACAACTGTCATATCCACAACGCGGCCGTACGCCTGTCCCCGGGAGACGAGCTGCACTTCGGCTATGGGGGGCCCGCTTTCCAGCTGTGTGTGGACTCTACCCTTCAGGTCGGATTCTACTGTGTTTGCGTTCTCCGTACGAGTGGGACTTTTCTTACCGAACGTCTAAAAATCTTACTAAAAACGTCTTCTTGAGTATGAATATAGCGTGGATCTCTGTGGACGAGCGAAGCATCACTGTGAATGTTTGGAAGTTTTGGCACCTGCTGGTTATATATTGTCTGTCTTTTTTTCTGTTTCCATGTACTCGTCGGTGTGTGTGCCAGTCTTGTCCCCCAGTGCAGAAGCGCATTGCCTGGCACGCACCCATGCAGGTGCCCCCGTCAGTGGGCACCCCCTCCCAATTTCCACTACTGCAGAGACAAGCCCGGGCCAGCAAAACACAAGGGGGGGCTACCACAGCCCCTCGCCCCCCTAGCAGGGTACGGCCGGCCAGTGCTGGTGTTAGGAGGGTGGGGCTCTGCCAGTCCATGGACCACAGGGCCTCCTCTCTCAGGCCAGGTACCCAAAGTGTCCCCTACAGGAAATACGAGTGGTGTAATCAGTACTATTACAGAACAATGAATCATAGGAATATACACCTAGAGCAGGGTTATTCAAATCACGGCCCTCGAGGTCCGAGCCCTGCTGGTTTTCCAGCCTTCCTTTATCTGTCAGTCAGGTGTGAAGCCTCTGACCAATCAGAATCAGTGATTATTAAACTAACTACCTGGGAGAACTGAAAACAAGGCCTGGATTTGGAATCGAGGTCCAGATTTGAAGAACCCTGACCTAGAGTGATATAGAGTGATATCTGACAGATAGATCATTGGCGTGTGTTTCTTATATTAATTGCTGCATGAATACTTTTAGATGTTTACATAGTTTTGCAACTTTAAGCCATTATGGTAATTCATCTTTGTGCTTTCCTAAATGAGTCTATGAATCTTTTGGTATAAAAACATGAAGTTCTTAAGAAATCATTTTCAACTCTACAGGAAGCCATCCCTCAGTCTCAGATAGCGGGGATCTTGCGGGGAACACAGAGACTCTGCCGAACACGCAGGTGCTACAGAATATTCTGCAGGAGAAGGTAGCCTTTCTGCACGGTCTGTTATATGTTCAGCCATTTGAACAATTGCTCTTTAAATTCCGGGTAATTTATGCTCAGTGACCTGGAAGCCTCCAGCAGCAGAATAAATCTGAGAGGACTGATCAATTGGAGCTTGCAGCTGCAACACAATATTGTTGAACTACTAGATGTCTAGGACTGGCTGTCTGCCATGGATAATAGTTGCTTTTGCCCCTTCAGCAGGGATTAACTGTTCTGCATCGTGCAAAGTGATTTAGGGTAGAAATTTGTTAGTGTGTGTATCAAATGTGCATTCGTCGCCCTCCCAGTAGGTAGACAGTTATTGCAAAAAGCTATGCATGCCACGGTAAACAGCAGGGTTCCCCAATTCCGGTCCTAGAAGGCCAGTCCGCAACACGGTTTGCAGATTTCCCTGTTGAAACAAACACACACACTAAACCTGGCAATTAGCTGTTGCACTGAATAGGGTGTGTTTGAGTACGGAAATCTGCAAAATGTCCTGAAGACTGGCCCTTCAGGACCGGAATTGGAGAAATATCGCATGTAAAATTATACGAAAAACAGAAGATTTAGGCAGGTGCCTGATACAGCGTACTGAGTGTCTCTCAGTGCATTTTAAAATGAATTTCTACACACTCCAATTTTCCCCCTGGAGACCAATTAAACATACATTTCATAGAAGCATCTGTTCTGAGAAAAATGCTCTAAAAATGCAAAGCAAGTGAAGGTTGCTGGCGTGACGCAGGCGGGGGGGGGATGGTTATCATTTTTGGAGCAGGAGGAGAGGCTGCTGCGGCTGGGGGACGAGGTGGACCGCCTGGCGGCGTTCGAGGCCGAGTCACAGCGGAAGGACACCGTAATCGCCGGCCTGAGGGACGAGGTGTTTGCACTCCAGCGCCAGCTGTTGTGGGCGGACCCTGAGATAAACACCAGGCTGAAGGGCCTGGAGAAGGACATCAGTGACAAGAAGGTCCAGATAGAGCAGCTGAAGGGACAGGTGCTATACACACGCGGCCCGGCGCACACACAGATCACGATATCCAGCCAATCATCACATGTGTGTTTTTAATAGCTAATAACCCATTAGGTTTGTGATATGCTGTAACATCCCCATTTGTATCTATTCTCCATCCATCCATCCATCCATCCATATCCTAACTAACTGTTGATCTAGTACAGGGTTACAGTGATTCTAGGAAGGCAGAAAACACCCTGGGTGTGATGTCAGTTTATTGCAGGGCGTTATGGAGATTGATGACTGTTTGCTGTCTGCATTATGTGCGTTTGATTAAATTTCAGGGTGGTGCAGTGGTTAGTACTGCTGCCTCACAACAGGAAGGTCCTGGGTTCGGTTCCCGGGTCGAGCACAGGGCTTTCCTGTGTTGAGTTTGCATGCTCTCCCTGTGGTGTGTTGGTTCCTGCCTGCGCCCCTTGTTCCTGGCTATGCCCTGACGCCCCCAGTTGTGATTAAGCGGTGATGGATGGGTTAAGCTTCGATTACATCATAGGGATCATTGTTACAGTAAAATTCATCCTATCTATGGTGCCCCCACCTTGGGCTGGTGCTGCCCGGCTAACTCTGATGGGTGATGTAAGTGTAGATGCATCGATACTTTTACTGAAAGGATGTGATTTATTGAATCAGGTTAAATAACTTGCTGTGGGGTGTGACACTGAGATGTACTCTGGGTGTAGGTCAGTTCCTTAACTACTGTGCCACCCGCTGTCTTTCTTATGCATTAATTAGAATGTTAATTGCCCTCCCTTGAATGCAGATGGAGGAGCTGCAGAAAGGCTCCAGTGACGTGTTCAAGCAGTCACTGGCTGAGCGGGACATGAAGATCAGCAGCCAGAGAGGGCAGCTGGAGAAACTGAAGAGAGACAGCAACATGTCTTCAGGTACTGGGGCAGGAGCTGGTAGGGATGACTGTTAGCTGTACAGTGTGTGGAGACACATGTGGTCTTTGTTGGACTACAGCTCCTACAGCTGCGGGTGATACTACAGCGGATCCGCGGACCCCATATACAACATGATTTTCATGTACTTACATATGGCAATTGATAAATTATGCACAGTATGGATGTTACCAGCATCAAATACAGTAAGAAAAAAGTGCATTGTACATTATTATACAGTACGGTACTCTCATTCTCTGTCTCTTTCTTTCTCTTTCTCTCTCATGAAAAGAATTTTGGCATTTTACCCTAATTCTTGGGAAGCAATAGAGCAATGAAAAAAATATCTTGTATCAAGGGATAAAGCAGCAGTGAAAATCGTGCTTTTTATACCCCTCAAAGGACGAAGGAACAATGAAAAAACTGGCTACTGTTACACATTTTACATTTTTTTTCAGACCACAATAAACCATGGTTCCAGGGGGACTAGTGTAATTATATGGCTACAAGTCAGCTGGTAGTTTTGAAAATGATTGTGATGTGAAAACATTGGATCAGTTAATTGTTCCGAATTTACTATAAAAATGCATATACCCTCAAACAAAAATTAAATTAAAAAAATCAGTCATCCTCTTCTACATCTTGTTTTGTACCCGTTGTTCTCTATGTGTCGTCCGGTGCCCATTAGATTTTCCTGTTGCTGAACTTTCCCAGCGGAACTGCCATGCATTTGCCCCTCAAAAAGAATTTTAACCCAGCAATAATGGTGCGACCAGTCTCCATGTCTCCATGTAACCCTGCCCCCTCGCTTTCTGACCTGCCGCTCAGGGCTGGTGACCAGGCTGCAGAAGGATCTGTCAGCAAGGGAGAAAGAGGGACTTTCGCTGGCCTCTGAGGTGGACAGACTGCAACAAGCAATCCGGCAGAAGGACGGACAGCTGGGGTCTGTGTCCAGCAAGGTGCCCCTGTCCGCTGCTCTCCTCACCTGGGCCTGTTCTGGTGTTTGGGAGGCATTTCATAAGAGGTTACTGAAAATAGATGGATGGATAGTAGGATGGATAGTGGGATGGATAGTGGGACTGATGGATGGATGGATGGTCTGCATTTAACTGCATTTAACTATTTTGTCCTCGTCTGGCAGAACATGAAGCAACAGGGTGAGTTGCTCGCACGGGAAAAGGAGGTGGCTCTTTTGCACAAGGTGCGTATCTGTATTGCTGTTGCATATGGAAGCCCGTCCTCTGTTACCCGCATGCATGTGCATGTGTTACTGCATGTTTGTGTTGCACTAGAGAGTTGAAGATCTGGAGCATAAGCGGGCAGAGCTGCAAATCGCGCTAGTGCAGAAGGACATGGAGTGGGACTCCTTGAAGGGAGTCCTGGACAAGGAGCGGCAGGTCAGATGGTACCACGGGGCTGACTTTGCCAATTCCATACATAGTTGTCAAATGAGACATTTTCCCTGCTAGCTGCAGTCGTCGTTTGTGGTGATGGGATCGTGGATGATGCTGTTCCCTCAGGAGCAGGCCTCCCTGCAAGCAGAGCTTGAGGAGAGCCGGAGGCAGGAGCAAAGGGCCCTCATGGAGCTCCAGCAGGAGCAGACTCGGGTGAGAAACCTTTCCCTTCTGTGGTGAGGAACTACAGCCAGCTGTGCTTGGGGCCACGCCCACTATACAAAGTCACGCTCCTAGTGCATGATGCCATAACACCTGCTGTGAAACCATGATATGAGGCCACACCTGCTGATGTTAAGACACGCCTCCTGTTATCAGGCCACACCCATATGCATGAAACAACACCCCCTGCTGTTAGGACACGCCCCCTGTTGTGAAGCCACACCCATATGCATGAAACAGCACCCCCTGCTGTTAGGACACGCCTCCTGTTATGACGCCACACCCATATGCATGAAACAACACCCCCTGCTGTTAGGACACGCCCCCTGTTGTGAAGCCACACCCATATGCATGAAACAACACCCCCTGCTGTTAGGACACGCCCCCGGTTGTGAAGCCACACCCATATGCATGAAACAACACCCCCTGCTGTTAGGACACGCCTCCTGTTATGAAGCCACACCTCATCTTAACGTAACACTGACAATAACAGACATACCATACACATCACTTCCATCCTCAGCTAGAGAGGCTCCGCTGCCAAATCATCCAGGCTACCTGTTCCAGCCCTGGAGCATCATCTCCACAAGACACTGTGTCTGACCAGCAGGTTAGTCCAACCAGCACTGTAGCTCCATTCCAGTCAGGTTTGTACTTACGATAGCATAGTAAATATCTTTTTCCACTGTTATTTTGTAAATGAATTGGAAATATATTTAAATTGGGGGAATTTCTTAATTATCCTTTTGATTGGCCTTGAATTACCTGCAGATAACAGAACAGATATCAGAACTTATTAAGGAGGGAGAAGGTCTGAGGACCAGGGTAAGGGAGCTGGAGGAGCAGCTGAAGACAGCACATGAAGAGCAGGACGGGCGGTCCAAGGAGGCGGAGGTGCTGAGGAGCACCGTGGAGGAGGTGCAGGTAAACAGCAGCCAGGGCTGGGCTCTCATGAGGCGTCAGCAAGCACATGCTACAGGACAACTTGGAGAATAACAGCGAACATCTTACTGCACTACATACTGATGTTTAATGGAGTGGGAACCACTGCTGGCAGGCAGAATGAACAGCATTCAAGTTAAAAGTGCATCCAGAAAACTTGCTGCTGTAATGGAAGCGTCATAGTAGATCATAGAAGAGATATTTCCATTACAAAATAGTAGAGGTAGTTCAGTGTTTATTTATTTTGGACAGTACCGAAAATTTCATTAACTCAAGTAGAGTCATGCCCCACATAACGACGTCGAGATGAGTGACAGACCACATTTACGATGGTGGTCTCAGAAGATTATAATGGAGCTGAAATGCATCAAGGCGCAACGCATTCCTTACGTGTCTGTGGTGTTGCTGCCGTAAACAAACCTGTGTGTGTGCGTGTGTGTGTGTTATGTATCCTTAACCCTTACCAAGCCCTAACCTTAACTGTAAGTAACCAAACAAAATACATGTCTTAGGACTTTTGACATTTGTAGTTTTTTGATTGCATTTTTATATAATTGAGTTCCCCCTTGTGGGGGCTGAAAAAATGTCCCCATTAGGTCAAAATGGTTGTCATAGTTGGGGTTAGGGTTATGTTCTTAGGAATGAATGGACAGCCCCCCCCAGTGATATAGACACCTAATCATGGCATGTGTGTGTGTGTGTGTGTGTGTGTGTGTGTCCCCAGACACGCCTGCAGAAGGCGCCCTCAGCTCCCGCCCTGCAGGAGGCGATAGCGGCCCTGCAGGGGCAGCACGTCCCCCCCGGCCTGGCCTGGGTGCACGACGCCACCCTCTCAATGCTGGGCTGCCAGCTCAGGCAGATGCAGAACACAACGCAGGCCCTGCTGCAAGCGGGGATAGAGGTGTCGGACTACGCGGAAGGTAACGTGGGCCCTGTCAGATTACATGTCACTCTGCAGTTGGCTAAGAAGCTGAGTCTATGCAGTGTACAGGCCGGGGTGATTTAATGCAGGGGTTTACCTAGGCGGAGACCCAGGGCCCCCTGACCATGTTGATGTGCCTCCGTCCACAGGGATCCCCGGAGGGATTGGGGTCCTGGGCCAGCGGATACAGGCGTGTGAAGATGAGGTCAGAGCCCGGCAGGTAGGCTGCGCGGCCAGGACTGCACTCTCCCGTCGGTCCGTTTTTCAGTCCCTAACAGGCATGATGCAACTTTAGCTGAAAACTAGGCAGTGTCCCAGATCCAGTTTTAGTGATTTAATGTTTGTGTTTATTTGGTGATTAATTTGGGGGTGGGGTGAGTGGGCTGGGATGCTGTGCCTGTTATCGGAAGGTTGTCAGCTCACATCCCAGGGTCGGCAGTGTGATTTCACTATTGGGCCCTTGAACAAGGCCTTTAACCCCCAGTTTCACCAGGGACTGTGTGACCCCACTTTCTCAATAAAATGTATGTCTCTTTGGATGAAAGCATCTGCTATAATGTAAATGTACTTTACAAAATGTTGGATGATTAAAATAAGATTCTTCTGTTGAACCACAATGTCCTGAGGTTGGTTTAACAGGAGCTAAAAAGCAGGCTTTGATACGGAGTGATGATTCAGGCCTTTCACCCACAGAGGGCGCTCACTGTCTGGTTATCCCATCTGCGTACTGATTCCCGGGTAAGTGACTTTGGGAACTAAAGCCACATTTTTTCCCCTCACCACCCAACCGTGAGCAGGCAGAGCTGCAGGCATGTCTGAAGGCCCATGCCCAGGGCAGGGAGGAGCAAGCCAGGGAGGCGGAGGAGCGAATGCGTGCCCTCCGGGAGGAGCTGGAGCAGCAGGGCCAGCAGGTGAGACGGGGAGACACACGGATCCTTTCAAAGAAAGGGGATCCTGAATCCTCAGTTTGTCAAATACAGTGAAATGGTCTCACGTTCAGCATTCAAGTACAACTGAACGATAACTTTTAAAAATACATAATATTTCCCCCCCCCCCCATAAAGACTCAGCCCCCTATCCAATCATCTGTAACTATGCCCCTGGTTTACCTCATAATCTCTTGTATTCTGTCAAATATCTGACTTAAAATACAGTACAATAATCATTAGTATGTGTATACTTAAAGTAAGTGTAAGACATGTGTTACGGTTCTGTGTTTTTCAAAAGTAACATTCAACTATTCGGAAAATCCCACTATCCAGCAAGTTACTGGATATGAGAGCTTTTACTGCACTGTCCTGTTAGATTAATTCAGAATGAAGTAAAGTAAATTGGTTGATTGATTGATTTGTGTTTTCTGCTAAATTTCTGGGGGTTTTTTTTGCCCCTATTAGAACAGTTCTAGCATTTTGGTTATGCAGGTACCCAGAGCCTAAACCTACACTGAAGGATAACTGCTAGGCAACAGCTTGGAGTTGCTTATCTATTTATTTAGTGTTTTTATTATTGCCGATAGCATCAGTGCCCCATAGTGGCTACTTAGAGTTTGGATGCCGTTTGTGTAGTTTGTGTTAGTATTATGTAGCATGTGTGTAAAGCCTGTGTGTCCCTCCTGCAGCTGCTGCAGGATGCGGTGAGGACAGAGAGAGACAGAGTGACGCAGTCGCTGTCTGCGCAGCTCGGCCACCTGCAGGAACTGCAAAGTCAGAATGTAGAGCTCACGCAGGTAATTACCCAGGCGTGTCCGCAGTAACCAATCACAGCTCGTGATCAGTTTTTAATAATCTGGGTTTATAGATTCACTGCCACCCTTATCCAGGCTTGTATCACTTATATTTGGATCAGTTGAGTATCTCTGTAGAAGATCCAAGAGCTGTGTCCTTTTGGGTTTAAACTGACAACCCATTGGTATCAGTTCCAGTACCTTAATTGCTTTAAATGCTACCTGGAGATGTCATAACTTGTGTATACAGATTTTAGGGGAATCACGGGCCACTGCAGTGGCATTAGTAAGAGCTACTGTTAGTGATTCATCTGAATAGGACCTTTCCTAACACTGCAGGCAATGGAGACCCAACAGAAGGAGGAAGCTGCACTCAGGCATCAGCTAGATGGACTGAGAGTTGAGCTGGAGTCACTTGGGAGAGCTGAGGTAGATGGGCGGGGTCAGCAGGAAGTGTTGGGGTGCATCCAAAATAGCATACTTGTTTGCTATGTAGTAGGCGAAATATAGTATGCAAAGTCAGCAGTATGTCCGAATCCACAGTATGGATGAGACAATAGGTGAATGGTACTTGGGTGGCATACTACATTCTGTGACATTCTGAAGCATGCAACTGATGGATGCTACAAAATCCCACGAGGCCTCTGGAGCTGCAACCAGAGATGAAGAACGCTGCATGTCCAGACACTTGTGGCCAGATGGCATAGGAAGTGCTGTCTCTGTACAAATTTAAGTAGAAAACAATTTTACACAAATATGTATTTTTTTTCCCTTGATAGTTTCTAACAGTTTTAACTTTTTTTTTTCGGGGGGTCAAGCTAGATCACTGGTAAATATACAGGTAAAATAAAATGCAAGATGGTGATCGCAGTGTGTCTGAGTGCACACATACAGTTCCCAAGAATAGATATAGTATTCTAATAAAATTCAGTACATATTGTGCCAGTGTGCTAGTTTGGACACGCCCTCGGCATGAGACCCCAAAGATAGTGTCACCTGCGTCCCTCCAGGCTGCTCTGAAGGAGCAGGACCGGATCCGGGAGGCGGAGCTGGAGGCAGCAATAGCTGAGGCAGAGCACAAAGGGGCGGAGCTGGAGAGGAGGCACTGGCAGGGCCAGGAGGAAGAATACAGGGAACAAGTGCGACAGCATGCACACACTATCGTGGCCATGGAGCAGCAGCTGGAGGATGTGGAGAAGGAGAGGGACACCCTGAGGGGGCAGCTGAAAGGTGGGGACAGGGGACACTGAGGGCTGCTTAGACCAGTGTTTCCCAATCCGGTCCTCGGGGACCCACAGTCGGTCAGTGTTTTTGCTCCTTCTAACCTCCCTGCCAGACAGTCTACATTGTGGCTCCCTCCCAGCGCCCAGGGGACCTCTGGACTGTCTGTGGGTCCCCAAAGACTGAATCGGGAAACACTGGCTTAGACAAATACAGTGTGAAAATGAGACCCTCTTCATCACTGCACCAGAAAGACAAATAATTAGGTTTTACTGCTCAACGGGGAATGTTCCTGGTAAAATGTTTAAGTGACACGTGAGTGACAATGGGCATGTATTAATAATTTTGCACATATATGTTGTGGAAGCATTATTTGGATTGTTGCTATGCTGCTTTCATGAAGATGTATATTTTACTAAAAACAGATTGACGTCGTTAAAATTTCAGGAGTGTAGGTTACACACAGACTGTACATAAATAAATTACACGCCCACATACACACTTGTATCTCAGTGTTTTTGTAGCTCCTCATATTATCTCTTTGGGCAGTAAGAGACAAATGAAGTGTTGTACATGCTTTCAGTGTTTATGTTTCTCATTTGTCCAGAGGGATGCCTGTTGCTCAGGCTTGTATTTGACATGCCCTTGCAGATATTCAGGGATGTTACTCTTCTTATTGGTGCCTTGGTGCCTTTTAAATGTCAGACATAAATGTGTTTAGCTGCTAAAAATGAGTGTATCGTGCCTGGTAATTGTTCATATGGACCACAGTGGGTTCCTGCACAGTGCTCCCCAAGGCTGTCATGATGCATGGTGTTTTTTTGTAGCTGCAGAGGCGGAACTCGGAGACCTTAAGGCTGTGGGACAGAAGAACCCTGAGGTGCTGGCGCTGGAAGAGAACCTCGCAGTGGTCAGGTACACAGTGCCGCCTGGATTTAAGGTGCTCTCCTGTTGTATCTATGGGGTAATTAGCAAGCTGCTGACACAGAGAGCACTTATTCCTGAGTGCAGTTTTTGGAGAGCATATGTTATTTAACAGTGACATCCGGACTGCCTACAGCAGTGAATTATGATACAAATAATTACTTCAGCGATGATCATTAACAACGCAGGACTAAAGCAGCACCCCCATGAGGATTAGGATTGGTTACACCCACTGCTGTCTGACTTATTGGGTCTTGATGGTGGAGGACGGAGGATGTATTTAAAGAAATGAACTGGAAGTGATGTTAAGTCAAATTTACCATCCAGCCAAAGTCTCTGTTACCTAGAATGTGACTAATGGAGGAACATAAATTTTTATCTTCTAGCTCTTATGTAGTAACTCCCTGTTTGAATTTACGATTTGAAGGTCTCTTCTTTCCAGTATTAACGTATCTCCTACTTAACCTTTGTCAGTTTTTGCTGTGAAACATGGTCCACCTGTAATACATGAAGGTATTATAGGTGCACTTTATGGAATAGTTTCTGCACTAATGTCTCTCTTGCTTAACCTTAACCTTTGTTGTCGATGTGGGTAGGTATTTTCTGTGAGATGTGCTCCATCTACTTCCCTTACACGTTATAAATTTGAATAGGTTTGATTTACAGTGGCTAAATTGCAGTGGTTACATAACTGTGGAACGTCACCTCTGGCTCAGAGTCCTCCGAAAGGAATCTTGATCATCTGCTGAAGCTGTTGATTCCCCATGATGCTGTTGTATAGCAGTAGAAACCGGCAGTGGTGGGCTTCGGGTGTCCTCTAAAAACCTGAGGAAAGAACATATTTTTGTGTTTTCCAGTTGCTTGTGGATAGGCGTGGAGGAGCCGTAAAATCTTTGCTTCCAAAGCTGTGTGAAACGCCTTTCGTTCTTTCAGCATGAGAAGAGGTCTCGTGGTCTTTCTGAACCAGCAGGAGTTCTGCACGGTGCGGTGTGGTGCGATGAAGGGTCTTTATCTCAGGGATACTGAAAACTCAGCTGCTTTTCTCAGTCTAGGAGAACCGCCTGTAATGACTCAGTGAAGCAGTGCAATGCTTCACCCTGCGTAATGAGTCAGAGCCTCCACAACGCATCACAAGCCTTCATGGCTGAGGGAAAAGTGTGATGTGACAGGGGATAGATGGACAGGCGCGGCTTGTGAGGAGCGGGAGAGACTTTCAGCGTGGCTGCCTGCTCGTCTCAGCACCAGGGATGAGATGGAATTCAGCCACAGCTGTGTCATCGTGGTACAATCCAGGCACAGTGTCCATGTATCAGTATTTTATGGGTTTGGGTACATGTGAGCAACTTAGACTGAGCAGGAATATACCTCTGTACATACACAACACACACACACACACAGGTTTATAATTATGTCTTTGTGGGGACTCTCCATTCATTAATATGGGGAAAACTCTAATCCCAGCATGACGACCTTAACCCCTACCCAACCCTAACCTTAACCATAAGTAACCAAACAAGATACGAGACTTTTGCCATTTTTACTTTTTTGATTGTATTCACAGATCTTTGTGGGGACCTGAAAAATGCCCCCCCCCCCCACAATGTCAAAAAACAGGTTTTTTATTACATTGTAGGAGCCATTTGACTATTTGTGATATAAAAGGTTCTATATATTTTGATTCATATTTCAGTTATGATGTTGAAGTTTGAGAGGAGTCTCCCCACCTAAGTCAGTAACACATCTGTTCGCTTCACTCATCACTGACTCTTGTGGACTGGAGCCAGACTCACGCTGCCTGCCTTTTACCCCAGGGAGGCGCTGTCTGAGGCGAGGGAGGAGGTGGGGTCCCAGGGTGATGTCATCGCCGCTCTCAGCCGTGAGCTGGCCATCGCCAGTGCAAGGATGTCTGACATGACGGGTGCGGAGAGCTGCAGTCAGAATTGCACACTGCATTCTTGCCACAGTAGGCCCTGTTTTCACTTGTTGCCATGGCTGCACTATGGGGGTGCCTTTTTTCACGGTAGGACCATATGTTCTTCCTGATTTTTAACAAAAAATTACACATGTAAAAAGCATGTTATGTGCCAATACATTTCTACCTAAACCTACAAATATTTTTACTTATGAACTTCAGGTAGCAAGTCTGGTAGATGATGGAAACATTCTCTGTGTGTGAGAGTGGCCTTAGTTTGGCAGCACAGGCTGACTGAGAACCTGCGTTGCATGTGCCTATGTGCAGGAGAGTTGAGCGAGCAGCAAAAGGTGGAGCTGGAGCAGCACAGGACCATGGTGGTCGACCAGAGGGTCCAACTGAGCATGCTCACACAGAAACTGAGCCAGATGTCACAGCTGGTGGAGCGGAAGGGGGAGGAGCTTCAGAAAGTGAGGGAGGAACTCAGGTACAGCAGTAAAACTGCAGTGCTGCTGCGTCACATGGTCTCTGGGGCCAGCATCCATCCTTCCAGCTGGTTGTAACTCATCATGCAAACAGCCCACAGTGATCCAGAGCCTGTCCCGCGAAGCAAAGGGTACAAGCTGGAGCCCAATTTGGACAGGACTCCACCATTACACACACACTTCCTCATGGTCACACACACTTTGACGGATGATTTCATGTTTTTTTGGAAGCCAAAGTTACTCAAATAAATCCAAGAGCACAAGACTCATCAATCAATCGATATTACAGTACATTTTGGGAGTAAGCCCTCATTTTTAGTAAAGTACTAACATGGTATTTTTACTATAGTGTGTTTAAACATCTGATAGAATTTTGCTAATTAATTCAATACAATTACCATGCCTGATTGTCCCTAAAAGCAACACTGGAAACACTGCGTTTCTGGATTGTGGACAGTGCAAATTAAATAAATACTGAATGGGGTTCCATTGTCAGATGAGTTTGTTACAGAATTTACATTGGTCATGACCTTGTAGTAAGCAAACAAAAGGGGATTTCACAGTTTTCTCTTGCCTTTTGATGATCGACGTCAAGTTTCTCCAAAATTATCTGGAATGTGGAGAAGACAAATTCATCTTTCCTGCTCAGCAGATGTGATGAAATGTTTGAGAAAATGACTCAACAGTGACAGGATCTGTCCTCATTCTCCCAAGGGGGGGTCGGCGGACACTGAGTCTAATTCACATGCTCTCTGAAAGTCTGGCCTTTCAGCTGGGAAAGCAGTGAAAGCAAGGCTTCTGAAGTGTTATTTTATAGCCCAAGTATCGTTGAATGTCAGCTTCAGATACAGGATGCATGGAGTCACACAATGAGCTGAAATATCATTTACGTTGGTTGTACTGCAAATGAAAAGTAATAAGGTAATAAAGAGAATATAAGATAAGGCTTTACATTAACTGCACCTTCATGATGCATTTATAATGCATTCATAGGACATTCATAAGCAGCATGTAAGTTAAGTTATGTTAGGACAGTAAGGTATACTTACATGCTGCTTATGAATGCTCTACGAATGCATTATGAAGGTGAAATGAACGTTGTATGAATCCAGAATGAATGCATTATGAAGGTGAAATGAATGTTGTATGAATCCAAAATGAATGCATTATGAAGGTGAAATGAATGTTGTATGAATCCAGAATGAATGCATTATGGAAGTCATGAGTTATACATCTGGAAATGAAATTCACGCGTGATGCGTGTCGTGTGTATGTTTGGTAGCCAAGTTTTATCTGTGGTTTGTATGATGCATTTATGTGTAGTGTGTAAATGATCTGTTATTTGTGTGTGTGCTGGCAGACAATGTCAGGAGGACCTGCGGGTGCATGTCAGCACTGAGAAGGGGCTGGACACACAACCTGAACAAGGCAACAGGCCTGCAGAGGTAAATCAGCCTATAGCAATCGTGAGTGCAGAGGCTTATCTTACCCCCAGCAGCTAACGAGCTGATTAAGAAATTCGGCCTGTTTTATGTGGATTTTTATTTAAATGTTGATGCATCCCCGTCCAAATTAATATGTCATACAGAGCACACTCCTTTATGTTTGTACTAGAAGATATGTTTTGTATTGCGATTTCACTTGTCTGTCATCACGTGAGGGAATATTAGCCAGCAGGAGACCGGATCCCTGCTAACCACAGGCCCTGGACTGCCTGACTGTGTTATCTCACTTTGAGGAGGGAGAGTCCCACAGGCTTGTGGCTGTTTCACTGTTATATTATCACTTCCTATTGGTGAACTCATGGTGTTAATGAGCTTCCATCTCATTGGTGCTGTACCATTTCTACCAGCCAATCCCTGCTCCCTCACCCTCTTTGTAAGCAGGCTAATGTTTTTTTTTTTTTTTATCTATCTTGTCTCATTTCATTTGATGTGGCCAATCACATCCAGGTCAGGATCTGGCGACAGGAGGAGGGCCCAGTGGAATCCAGAGGTAAGGATCATGCCTCGGAGCAAAAGCTGGTTACTTTAGGAATAAGATATTATGTTAAAATGCGCGGATCAGTTTATATTGTGTTTTTAATATTCATTTATCTAAGATCTCAAATTACAGATGAATCTGCATACATTAATTGTAATGTAAAACATATTCCTTCACCAAGACCTTTAAGACCTTTTCTTACATGAGAAATTCTCCCTCAGTGTCGCACCCAGAGCTCTGTGTCCAGCAGGTGGCGCCGATGAGACAGGCACCGAATGAATGGAGAACCCAGTTGGCCAATGAGGGGAATGTAACTGGCACCTGTGAGGTACAGTCTCCTGACCTGCTCTTATCACAGCCCAACATTAAATGCTTTATATGATTATACCTACAAGAACCTGAACACCACGCTATTGATATTGCAGGACTTCAGCCTGGTCGCCTTTGTGCAGAGCCAGGAGTGCGTGGAGCAGACAGCCAGGCTGGACTTATGCGACACTCTGGACCTCAGCGAAAGAACAGTCAGTATTAGACGCTGCTGGGCTGGGGGCTGATCTTAAACACATATGGCAGTGTCATCCCTTCTGTTTACATTATGTACTTCATGGACCCTTTATTAGGTGAATCTTGCTAGTCCTGGGTAGAATTCACTTTTACCTTCAAGGGAAGATTAATTCTGTACGCCATTGCTGTACTGAGCCTGTGTGGCCGTCCTGTTAGCTTTAACAAGTCAGGCCATTCCCCACTGGCCTCTCCCGTTAACAAGGTGCTCTCAGCTTCTCTAGGTTCTCTAGACCAGTTTTTCCAACCCAGTCCTCGGGGACCCACAGGCAGTTCACGTTTTTGCTCCCTCCCAGCTCCCAGCAGGAGCAGAAATGTGGACCCTCCGGGAGTCCCGAGAACCGGATTGGGAAAACACTGCTCCAGACTATGTTTAGGATGCTAGGGCCGCCACGTGTGGCAGCAACGATGACACCATGTGCAGAACTGCTAAGAACTGCTGTTTTAATGCTTAGCTAAACAGTAAGTGAGCCTCTTGATCCTGACTACATGCTGCATGTATTCCGCTGTGGACACATGATTCACTGTTTGGAGGAATTGTTTGCATTGACACGTGTTCCTAGTTAACTGGCCACTAGTGTGTCACCATCACATAGCTGCTTAGTAATGGCTAGTGATGCAGAAATGAGACTGTGTGTGAGCTTGTGGAGGCTTTCCAGCCAAATACTTCATTACTCAAAGCCTCTTTTAACACAGTGTGCACTAGTAACATATACTGGTTAATACAGTGCTGACAAAATGGGGTTTCTGAAAGACAGAGACAAATTAAACATATGACTTAGATACAATCTTTCAATCTTGCAATATGTTCGAACCATTGCTTCATAGAAACATCTAAACAGGTACAGTAAATAGTGTTCCCATGGAGGAACGTGCAAACACAGAATGGACCTGCCATTGGTAAAGGCATATTGATTTAACACCGATTTTGTCTAATTATGTATTAATTCATAAGCCTACAATGTATCAAGTATTCTAATAAGAAAGACAATCTGTTCAACTGCTCAGACTGAGCCGAAATGGAGCAAAACAATGGAATTGTTTAGAAATAGTATAACTTTATGAAGCTCTGTTCAATGTGGTAATGTGACTGTCATTTTGATACAGATTTCAGAACAATGTTCTGATAGTATCACAAAGGTTTTCAAACATTTTGAAATGCAGTTTCAAGTTTGCCATTAATATATACATTTAACGTATGCCTCAAAAATTTCAGCTCTCAGTAGTGATCTTTTCAGCATGACACTCAAAATCCTCGAACCAACCAATATTACCTACAAAATGAACGGGGCCACATTTCCTTTTATTGACAATTTGAAACTCGAATCAATAGAATTTCTCCCTGGAAAGCAATGCTTCTTTGTCATCGATCACCTGATTTTCTGATGATACAACCCTCAACGCAAGGCTTAAGTGTAAACGCTCCTTTGAACTCGTTACATGCTTCGAGGCCTCAGTTTCGAACATAACATCACCAGCAGTGATGATCAAAACAATGCCTGATGAACCGTTTGCGGTATTCTTTCATCTCACTGGCTGGTGCCCTTGGTCTGTGTTGGGGCTTTCAGCCCTTTTCTGAACAGAGAGCACCATCTAGTGGCGAGAAAAATACAGGAAATGGTTCATGAAGCGACATTTTAACCATCACTAACCACCAGTTACTGCTTTCCTTCAAAATAAAGTGAATAACTCATTTTACACTTTGCCTGTTTATGCAGCTGCTCTTTTATGCTGAGGATATTTAGGTTACACAGTACTATAATCTAGGTCCCTAAAGCACACAGTCCAACCCCCTCACATCTGTGGTTCTGGCCACGACCCCCCAGTACCTGGACCTGGTGCGGGCCTTGAGTGAAGCGCTGGAGATGGAAGAAGCGCGGCTGTCGGGAAGCTCGTCCCTGAAGTTTCTGCCCCGAGCCGAGAGGGAGAAGCTGGGTTCCTGCAGGCAGAGGGACCTAGATCTGCTGAGTGCGCAGGCAAGACGCAAGGAGGAGCAGATACAGGAGTATCAGCGGGAGCAGGAAGCCTGGAGGTACAGTGACGAGTGTGCGAGTGAAGAATGAGTGAGGGCTATGGAAGGGTGATGGCTGAGTGATGAGCGAAAACTATGAAGCGACGATGGTGTGATTGATGAGTGCTGGTTGCAATGATAAGGCAATGAGTGATTAAGGTTTGGGTAGTGATGGACTAAATGATGCTTCTTGAACCATTTGCTGTGTTCTTTCTTTACACTAGGTGGTGCTCTCTGTTCAAAAAAGGGCAAAAAGCATGTCGCAAAGCAAACCAAGAGCACCATCTAGTGGGGTCAGAAAATACAGCAAATGGTTCAAGAAGCGTAATTTTGTCCAACAACATGAATGCACCGGAAAGGTTAGGGAGTGATGAGTGAATGCAGATTTTGGAAAGATGACTGGGTGCTGAGTTAATCATGAGTGAGTGAATGTGCAATGAATGAGGTGCAGCAGCCCACGAGGATCTGGCCAGAACCGCTCTTCCCCTGCAGGCAGAGCCAGGCTGCGGCTCAGCGCCTCCAGGGCCGGTTGGACAGTCTGAGGGAGGAGCTGCAGGCAGAGAGGCAAGAAAGCTCCCTGCTACGTGAGGCCCTGCGTCGCACCCAGGACCGGCTGGCGCAGGAACTGAGCCTCAACAAGGCCATCAAAGAGCGCAAAGTGTGTTCCAGTTGGGGACAGGGCCGAGTGACACTGTTACTCTACTGCTGCAGGATTCTGTATCTTGTCTACCTTCCGCCATCTTGCTTAGCCCACCTCCACTTATATACAAGGAAAAAAATCCCCATTCCATCTTTCCATCCCTGTATCATGTGGTCTGTTTGGTGTTCCAACCAGAGCAGGTCTTGGAACTTACTTTATCTCCCACCTTCCCCCTCCTTCACAGGGCGTGGCCTCAGAGCGGCTGACACCGAGGAGCGGGTGGGTGGTCTCTCACAGTTGCATCCAGGATGGATTTCGTGATAAGGTAAGCGCAGTTCGTCCTTTCTGATGAGGGCTCTTAATGATCTAAATCTCACCTTTGTAAACTATAATTTTATCCTTCCATTTCCTTGAGTAATAGGGCCAGGCTACTAGTTAAATCCCCCCTGAGCATCTCAGAACAGATTTGCCTATTATAATTTATACAACTCAATGGATTGCATATCCCACAATGCACCTGTATTACACACTACAGTACCTTTGGGAACACTTTTGATCTTTGTGGCTCCACACAGTTCAAACCTGTAGCTTTGATGTCTTTGTTATTAAAATTACACCTCATCTAATCACAGGATAGACAAGTCTGCTGTCTCTCTTGTAAAGGAAAAGATCAATGGCTTCACTACTTCTGAATGATTTATATCCAAAACGAGGGTTCCCCCAGGACTGTAAGTTGAGCTCTTTCGGGAGGCCGGATAATTGGCAGGGAATCCTGTTTGAGATGGTCCCCCCACTGCAGGGTATCAGAGTGTGACTGCTGCTGTCTCTTTCGCTGGGACACTGTGATCTTCACAAGCAGGATGCTGGGGGGGGGATACATGCCTTTCGTCTTTTCTATTTGCAGGGAAACATGGTGCTACCCTTCTTTGCCACAAATAGAGTTTGATGTATGATAGCACTGATTCTTATGTAAGGATAAGGAAGGGTGATGGAAATCATGGATTGAAAATGTGCTCAAGAGAAGCAGGGCCATTGTAAAGCGGTGGGGGGGGGGGTTAGAATGATACTCAGGGGCTCTAAATTATTATAACATAATTGGATTGGTCTGGGCTGGCGACCCACTATGATATGCTTTCATGGGGTCCAAAACAAAAGCAAATTTTTAGGGGGTCTCAAGATCGGTATTGCGCAACAATAGGGAGATGGGGACCCCCCCAGAATATTGACGGGTATTTCGCACACTGGACCGAAATCTCTAGCAGTGCCTCTGCAGCAGAGTACGCTCACTGTGGTACTGCCATTGAGAAAAGCACTGAACATGAGTTAGTCCGGCATTATAATCAGCTGTGTGGATGGAAAAAGGCAGTCCTACACTGTGAAACAACACCCCCCTCAACACTTATCTTCAGTTCTCCGTCCCCTGCTGCTAGTTCATATTTTGGTGTTTGTGGTGCTGTGCGGTAATCGATGCAGCGTTTGAGTAAACTGAAACGCGGTTGTGTGTAGGTCCGTCTGTCACGCCTGCCGTTGCTGTCTGTATCTCCCTTGGACAGGCTCCTTCTGGGAAACCCAGCCTGCATAGGAGGCTGAAGAAGAAGGAGTATGAGGTGGAGGTCCTGAAGGGGCAGCTGAAGAACCGAGAGAGGGAGCAGAAGCGTTGGACGGCGACGCCCACAGAGGTGCTCTGGGCCCTGGGTCGTGTGGGACGTAGCGTGTCCATCAGGGTGTGTTGGGCATCCACACTTAATTACTGTACTGGTTTGCCTTAAGGAATATCTTATTTGCCTTATTTGGAATTTACACTTTCAAGAGGTTGTGCATCAGACAGTTTTCTGGGCTGGAGTGATGACAGGTGTGTACCATGGATATTTCACGATACTCCATGGCTGTTCAGCATGGGAACTTCAGTGGAGACACTGATCATGGGAAACCTATTGGTCACTCAAACATCTACGAAACGCGGCAACGAAATATACATGAACTGGCTCAGGCTGAGACCCCCCCACACTCGGCAGTGGGGAGGAGACGCTGCCCCAGGCAGTGGGGGTACGGTCGCCACGGTGCCGGATTGCCTGTGCTGCACTATGATGTCGATGTTCCATCACAGTGACCCTGGCCTCCTGTTTCCCTGAATCATGAGGACAAAACAGTGTGGGTCTGATTTTCACGCACCGGAACTGAACGTGCTCGTCTGCTACAGCACAGCCACTTTGGCTGCTGGGTCATACCGAGTTGTGCCTGACGGTGTCGCTGTCTTAGCACCTTCCCGAGGATCTGCACACATAAAGTAGGACTCCTATTACTCCACATATCCAGCTCCTTCATTTAGCTGCTTTTCTGGTTAGAAAGTTAGGTCGAGTATCACGCTGTAGGAAACTGTAACGATGGCCTCTCATGGGACATGAGCTCAAAAGCTTCAGGTCATACGGCCACATCCTTTTCCAGCTGCCCCACCTGCTGCCCTCCTTCTTGGAGTGGAAGGGGGGGCGGTGAATTCCTGTGCAAAAATTAAACCGATAGAATCCCCCACCCCTGCCATCCCCCTGCTTCCCATGCATGAAGATCTAGAGATCAAGGCAAAGGCCAGCTCAGCCTTGCTGTGGAGCTTCCTGTCTCTATGTCAGTTTTTCCCAACCCAGTCTGCGAAGGACCCGCAGACGGTCCACGTTTCTGCTCCCTCCCAGCTCCCGGTAGCAAAAAATGTGGACTGTCTGGCACGGAACTGGGAGGGAGCAAAAGCGTGGACCAACTGTGAACCCTGAGGAACGGGTTGGGAAACACTGCTCTAACATCTTATTTCTACATTTCTTTTTAAGTTTAGTTTTTTTTTTTTTGATGAATTCGGTAAGATAGAAAAGTAATTTGTTGTAGTGGCTCCGTAATTGTGCACTTTTTGCAGCCCAGACCTGATGTGGAGCCTGCCTATTCTCCTGCGGCATCCCCTACGGCATCCCCTGCGACACCCCCTGCGGGACCCCCTGCTCGAACCTCCAGCCCGGCGATGAGAGCCTCCTCTCCAGTGGAGATGGCTGAACGAGAGCCGCAACGGTGCCAGTGAAAAAGAGCTGAAGATGATGCTTCTTGGACCTGAGAATGAAAAGTGGGTTTTCCGTCACAGCAGCACCTCCCGCCTCCTCTCCACCCTCCCCCCAGTCTCTCTCTCCCCACTGCAGTCGTCTGACGGCGTCGGAGGCTCTAGTTCCCCTGGATGCATCATCGCAGGTCTGCTGCGGCGGAGCTGACTCATTCGTCAGGCCCGGCTTCTGCTGCTTTTGGGTGTAGCAGCATGTCATGATGACGAGCTGCACACGCAGTCACTCCCAGCAGGTGCTGCCTGCAGCGGTAGCTGATTTTAACCAAAGCCTTCTGGCAGGTGCAGGCTAAAGCATTAGCTTTCATTTACCATTAGCTGCTGATATCATATAACTAGAATGTGGAGCTAAAATATAGCATTTGTAAAATGCTAATTTCCCAAGGTCAAAGCTAGTGAAATACATATGTATAATTGTAGAAATTTGCATGGATATGCAGACAGTGGACCAGTAAAATGTATAATACAAAAAATCTGTTGAAAATATTCAAAAAGGAATGGGACTAAATGTGATTTTTCACTGCTTTTGCCAGCGGGTTATTTTATGGAGAATAAGCAGCCGGTTCAATCTGCAGGATTTGTGTTCTCGAGGCTGTTGGTTCAGATCCCAAGAGTAAATGCACTGTAGGCACCCAGGGATGGTCAGTCAAACTGGTCAGTCTCGTAGGCAGCACTGGTTCCACTTGCATGTTGGACACATCATCCAGGACAAAATGAAACTGGCTGAACAGGGATATAAAGTCGGCCCGGGCCTTGCGGTCCCCCATGATAATCTGGGCTGTCCCCGCAATGAACTTTCCTGAGGGATCAATTTTGCTGGCCCACATGACCATTGGCCCACTGGGAAAATGCCCAGTATGCCAGATGGACAGTCCAGCCCTGGTGGACGCTAAGTACTTGTAGCTGTCTTTTGAGTATGTCATGTGTATTAAACCTACTGAGTTAGTTACACAGATGAGAAACACCCTTATTATGCTATTCTTTTTCAAAAAAATTTAATAAAATGCAATGAGGAATTTCTTCAGTAATTAAAACAACATACATTTTTTACAGGAACACATTGTTAGCAAATTGTTGGCACTGTGTTAAATGGGCTTTGGTGAAAACTACAGGATCATTCTGTTCTCCTAGTTAGGGTTAAGGTTAGGGTTAGTTAGGGTTAGGGTTAGGGTTAGTTAGGATTAGTTATCATTTGACCTTAATCATCTGTGTGTAGCTATCCAGTGTCTGCTGACTTAGGTATCAAAAGCATCTGAACAAATTGTTGCCTTTAGTTCTTCAGAACAACTACAGCATCACAGTGTATAAAATACGTTTTCATCACCCTTGCTTCACAAATGCATGATTATGTAATGATGCATAATCAATTACTCTGGTACTCACGTTTAATTATCATGGACAATTAAACGATGTCTGGTCTAATAAATGCTGTGACTGTATTTATGATTTTGCAATTCTACTCCGGGTTGTAAAAATGAATGAAACACAACATATATACTAATATGTATATGATGATGATGATGATGATGATGATGATGACTGTGTAAGGCATAAACTGATGTGGCTTATTTAAAGTTTTTTCAGGAGCTGAACATTAGATTTTAATATTGTCAAACGTTTTAAATAACTTTTTTATATCTTAGTTGCTGCAAGGAGTTAAGAGTGACTTACTTATTTTAATCATATGGAATAAGTGTTACATATTTCACCAAATTACCAAACTTAGTAGACATTCTGGTGACACTTGAGGGGGGAACAAGTAACTTAGTGACTTAGTTACTCCTCAAGTACAAATCATGAATAGATATGGTAACTGCATGAAATATACGAAGTTATGACTGATTAATGATGAACGAACATGGGATCAGAACGTAACTAACACTTGGTTTCTGGTTAATTAATGCATTAAGTAGGAGTGTTCAGCTACGTTATTTGCGTCCCCTGAAGTAAAGTGTTACCGACATTCCTACATTTAAGTATAGATATATTTTTACGTATGCCATATCTTAATGTAGCATGATCCACTCGTCACTACTTTCACTCAGAAGATTGTTATGCCCTCTGTTTACATAAGTGACGCTGAATTTCTTTAATGCTGTAAGACTGCCTTAAAACCACCCGCCTCCTTATTCAACCATTGACGCCAGTTGCGTAACTGAAAAACATCACATACTTAAATGAAAAAAGCGCTGGGAATTCACATCAACGACATCAATTATCTCTAATAACAGGGCGGCACAATGACTCGGTGTCACAGGGTTGAGGGTCGAATCCCGCCGCAGCACTGACTACAATTTGAATGCTCCTCCCGCATCGTGCGTGTTTCTTCTGTCTGGTATCCGGTGTCTCTAAATTGCATTTAATGCATAGATGTGTGTGTTGCCTGAGATGCATTGCCATCCCGTCCAGGGTTTACGCCAGCCTCGTGCTGCCCGGGAGAGACTCCAGTCCTGGCCAGACTAAACGCTTAGAATATGGGTGGGTGGGTAGTAATTATAACAATATGTGACCGAATAGCTGTAGTGTCTAATTCTCCCTGGCGAGGTCGCTTTAAACAAAACGGCCGAATGAATCATGCACAGCACTTAAATTGGACGGCGTGAGTTTGGTATTGTTTTTGGATGTAATTAAACATTATATTAGTGATTCAGTTTAATTTCGTTTTTTGTTCGTTTAATTCTAGTGATATAAAACTATTAGCTGTACTTAAAATAACTCCAATGCAACATTAGAATAGAGGTTGTGTGGGACCACAGGCCATACAATCTATAATAGTCCCACACTGTAGAGTGTAGATAATATGCAATAACAAGATATAGATCATTAAAATGTTGTTAGGTGAAAGATTCAGGTGAATATGGATACACATGAACAACACATGCATTTTGAAATATTAATTAGGACATATGAAATACATTTTTATGTAAACATTTAATTTCATATTATGAATACTGCATTACAAAAGCGAAATTCCAACAGCGTGGAAACAAAAAAGAAACGGAAAATTGCGGATATTTTGGAATTATTCAGATTTTCACGAATGATGCAATTTGTAACAATTTGTTTTTGTGGCTTTTCCGTGGGTTTCTACGCCTCTTTAAGAGGCGTGGTGTATGTTCAGACGTAGGAGCTTTGCCGTGAGGAAAGTGCGTCCCGAGAAATTCGAGCGCCGCAGGATTTCCTGCACAGTGGCGCTGTGCCCCTTTAAGGACAGGGGATCTTGAATTAGTTTATTGTACTGTACAAATAGGTCCGTAATCTCGAGATTTCAGTTCATTGTAACTCAGACCTCAAGAGGAAGAGCAGTAGTCCGCATAGTGATTGGATACAATAACGAATCTGTTGCCTATGGACCGTAGGTATTGGAACATTTCGTCTATTCGTAGCATTTTATTTGTTTAGTAGTTATTTCTTTTGAAATAATTTAAAAAGACATGGCTTCCGACGAGCTGACAACGAAGCTGAGTCGGCGTCTTCAGATCGGTGAAGGAGGTGGAGAAGAGCCGGTGATCGTGAACAAGACGCGCGAAAACGGAGCCGAGAAGCCGGCCACGGCGAGCGCCGACTCGGAGCTGGGCGCTAAGCTGCTGCGCCGGGGGGAAATGAATGAAGGGGAGCATCATCCGCGTACCATGAAGGTCTTCAACCCCTACACTGAGTTTAAGGAATTCTCCAGGAAGCAAATCAAAGACATGGAAAGGATGTTCAAGCAGTAAGTGCATCTCCCAGATCTGGCCGTATATCCTTTTGAAATGCGGTGGGTGTCAAGCGTGACAATGGACCTGCAGCCCGACGTGCCAATCCCGGGATTTATCTGTAATAAAGAGGCATTTCAGTGGTCACTGACACATACAGATATTGATTTATGATCAGCGTTTTATGCGTGATACTATGCGGGAGACTTCGACTAAAATAAAGCGGTGCGGTGACAATGACGGTGCGCAGCTGACACTGGCGGAACAGTGATGCTAATGTTAAATTTTAGGTCGCCTGTATACAGACGAGGCGCTTGAGATATTGCGTATTTTTCGAAATAAACGTAACTTCTATTATGAACAGGCACATGTTGGTCTTGTTAAATAATTAATTTTAAAAGGGTAATTCTAAGACTTCTCGGTGCCTGGGAACTTAATTTTGTAAGTGGGCTGAATATTCGAAATATGTATTGAAGTCTGAGCCGAATTGTATAAAATAAAATCAGGCCGCGCGCGTGTTTTCGATTACTTTAATTGTTTTAGCAAAATTCAGAAAACGAATATATGTAATTCAGTGCAATTTAATAACAATAGGCCTAATAATAATAATTTATTATTATTAATTTATTATTAATTTATTATTAATTTATTATTAATTTATTATTAATTTATTATTATTATTATTATTATTATTATATGTAAGCGGATCTTGTTGCAACCACATTATTTATAGTAACTTGTCTAACTTATGTATCCTTTCACATGGATACCCGCATATAGAAAGTGAATAAACTGCAGCGCAGTCTTAAAGGTTTAATATTGTAAAATACTGTTTTAATTATGTAAATAAGCAGTTCTGAAAGTATATGACTTTTCCGGGCTGACTTGCCAGCCGTGTTGTCATTGCACATTTTGATTAGGCTGTGTGTTCTCTTTTTGCAATGAAGTGTGGACACTCTGTAGGTTCTATAAAAATGTTTATTGTGACTAGCTGTATTTTGATCAAAATTCTGATCAACATTTTTGATTTTAAAATATCAACAGGGTGCCTTTTTATAAAAGTTTAATGAAGAGAAACTTGTGTAACTCTACTCCCTGTGTTTTGGAGAAATCGTGTGAAGTATGACAAGGTCACTGTTGATGAACGCACTAGGCGGTGCAGCAGCCATACTGATGACGTCACAGGAGTGAGCGTTAAGGGCCCCCCGCATCCAAAGGGGAGAGCTAGTCTTTTTTTTGTTTTTTGTTAATGTCATTTCGTGTTCCAAAATCTCTCAGGCTTGCAGCGAGTTTTGGTGCCAGTGCTGCAAACAGATGCTCTTTGTACAAGGTTGTGGTGGTATGGGAACGGGATGCCAGTGAGTGTGGGNGGGGGACACAGGGGGTTCTGCCATCTCCTCTGCAGTGAGCCCATTTCTCTATGCAGCCTGGGAAACAGAGCTTTCATTGTGCAGACCCACACAATGAACCCAACCTAGCCGTACAATAGCGTAAAGTGGACTCGTCTTGCAAAAATGACCCCAGAAGGCCTGAAAAATACAGACACGTTGTTTTTAGCTTTTTAATGTTTTGTTTTTTAAGATATATTGGGCTTCAGAGCTGTTCCAGTGGACTAGGAACAACTCTAAATTTAACGTATCTGCATTTGCAGATACTTCTTAATTCCGACTATTTAAATGTATTTTTGTCATTGGACTTTTTTTGTCAGATTCTAGTGGTACCAGTGGCCTCGGTCCTCCGAAGTATACATTTCATTTTTAAGTTTCCCTCCTAACTCATGGAAAATTTTGCTTACTAATGATTCCAGTTTTTCAAATCCATGCCCGTCTCTGAGATAACAGTTCTGTATTATCATCTGTTTTTTTTTACTCTGAAAATCCAAACTGATGATTCAGGACCTGTCACCTTAGAGTAAAAATGGAAGGAGGTTTGTTCAATGATGCTCTCAACTTTCAATCCAGTCCCCAAAACAGGAAGACTGATAGTGCATCAGTATTCAGCCTGTGACTAACTTGGTGATTCCCAGTATTTAACCTCAGTGTCCTCTATGAACTCAGGAAATGTTGCAGCTTTGCAGGATGAATATTGCTTCTGCTAATGCAAACTTCTTTCCCCAAACAAAATATACTGAACTCTTGGACTGTTCTGTCCTCTAACAAGATAATATTGCATGGTGTTTACATGGGTCTCTATTTCAGAATAGACTCATAGAGTTGAACAATGATTAAATGTAATCTAATATCTAGGTTGCAAATCCTCATAGCTCAGTCCCAGATGCGTCGGCGTCACTATGGGAATTTCTTTCTTTAGTCTTTTTAAACTGGCAACTCGAAGCAGGCTTGTTTCTCAAAGAGCAGCAGCTGCGCTGGTGACCCAGTAATGCCTCGCACAGATTCACTTCCCTTGCCTCCTTGTTTAAAGAAGGTCCTTTACTTGGCGGGACTTGAAACCGACTGGCTGTGTTCCCAAGAGCTTGAGTCAATACTGGAATTAATTGCCTTTCCACAGTGGCCCTGCTCCTATGCGATACAAACTGAACTGTCTCTTAGACTTTCATCAATCTGCTGTCGTGACTGCGCAGTGGCTTATTGCGAATAATTGGAATAATGTGATAGAGCTTCTGCATACAGGGCTTTTGATTTGTTTCATGGAGTATCTACGCATTGTTTTGACTAACACTTGACATTGTTTTGCACAATTACTAGCTATCTGGGTCGTGATTCAGTATATGTTTGGTTTAGTGCTGTCAAAAGTATCGAAAATACCGAAAGTATCGATTCTGTCATGTAGAAAATGGTTTCAGTACTCATCCTTCATGGTATGGATTCTGCAGTCTGCGCTTCCGATTTGCTCTGACCACTGAGGCTCGTAGACTACCAGTGCACACGCCTAGAACTGCATGCCGTCTCACTCACGGATGTTAAGATGAGTAGTTCAGAAGCGTCAGAACGTTCCCACTGCGCTAAATCGATAAAGACTGTAGCATGAGTGGCATGTGGAAATGCCAGGGCTTTGTGGCAAATGAAGAAGGCAAACCACAGGACATATGCAGGCCTGCATGCAAATTGTGTCACTGCACAATATTGGCAAAGGGGAAAACACAGCTGAAGTAGAGGTGTGACGTGGAGATATGACGTGCATTTATTCAATGGGTTAAAACATTTTTTTGTAGTTAGTTAAACATTTCCACAGTAAGACAATGATCTGCAGTTGTTCTTCACCTGTGGGTTATGTTCAGTTACATGTGATCTTATGAGGTTGTTTTGATTAGTGTTGATACAAAGTTTTAGAGATGTGCATTTGTTAGAAGTGTTTGTGTTTTGTGCATTGTAATAATAATATAAAGTAGCTTAGTTTTTAATAGTGTTTACTGCTTGTGAATATCTGAACACAAATTTCAGTGTGATTACAATGGCTACTACTGTACTCATTATTCTTTGACTGGCGCTGCAATGCAAAGTTTCTTTACCAAAGTTTGTAAAGTTTTCACTGCAAACAAAATTGCAATTGAATTTTTTTATTGAGTCACAATATGTACGTTGTTGAATATCAAATTTCAGTATTTTTCTTGGTATTGCAACTTTGAAAATTTTGAAAATTCGGTATCGTGACAACACTAGTTTGGTACATGGATGTTTGTCTGCACTGTGTATTCCTGAATACTGGTGTGATAGTTGATTTATGGTGTTCTGAGTTTCTTTAGCCATTCCCAGAAGGGAAGAATGACGAGATCGCCAATACATTAGTTTTGTTTTCAGACTCCAGAATCACACCATTGCACCTTTGTACACCAGTTTGGATTAATCTACAGTGGGTCTCCTCTGCTCAGGGAAACTGGTCTGACAGCCAGCTTCCCTTCCAGAGACGCCCCTAATTTGATTCGCTCAGAATGATAAATTATTAATGATACGTTGTAAGCAGGCACGGTGCGATGACAGCGTGCGGCCCTCACAATGAAGAGCTCCTCTGTTCCCTCACCCCCGGGTGGTGATTTTGCTTTCATTCAGCCTCATGAGAACCTTACCCTGTGTTCCGCATCACAGTCTCTCATTCACGGCGCAAGAATCGGAGGTGCTCAAATAGGCTGTTTCTAGCTGGAAGCTGGAAAGGAAGGAAGGAATGAAGGAATTTTGCCAGCTACCAGCTCAAAAAAACCTGCCGGTTTTTAAAATTCCCATTAATTTGTGATTTTATCATTTTTGTTTTTGCCAGTGCTGTTTTGGAATCTCATGTTCTATGAATTGCACCTGTCCTGTATCACAGAACGAAGGATGAGAACTTTTGAGGCTTTTCATTCTCTAGTAGACGTTACGTGTAACATTCTCTTTCAGCACGGTTTTGGGTGACTGAGTTTGGAGGTATGCAAAAGATACCAGACACCGTCGTGTCTGCCATCTGTGAAATTAAAAATGGGCAGTTTATTCTTGGAGGGTAAACCGTTAATGAACTCGGTGCAGATGCAAATTTTCTCGGCTCTTGACAGCAGTAGCTTTTCTCGTACTAGTTATCGCACCCCTGCGTTCTGACATCTGTCTTAGGTGATGCTGTAACTGTTACTCTCACGCGTAAAGCTGATTTACAAAGAAGTCAACGTAGGGCTGTGAAGCAGCTAGAATAATTTACGCTGCCACCTCCTCACGGAAGGCGGCCATGCAGTTATGTTCAGTCTTATACATAACATTTGAGGTGGAAGAACACAAAAAAACACATTGTTTGGTAGCTCATTTTAGCTAGCTTATATAATCTTCCAGTGTATGAATGCTTGAACAGCTTTAAAGTGGGAAGAGATGCATGTATTTGTACCTAGATGACTAAGGGTGACCATATTTGGCTTCAGTCATGATACCCTGGCTCGATTTCTGTGGTAGTGACCCGACCACCATCCGGACATGTTTCTCCAGTATGTGATGGTCAGAGCAATGTTCTCCAGAGCCTTGCGGTCATTCCAGATGAAATCTGCTACCATCCCCATAGCTCCCCTATCTGTCAGGGATTAGCCAATTCAGGTGCAGTCAGA